CCCCAGCCAGCAAATTCTGGGAGTTGAAGTCCGCATATCTTAAAGTTGCCAAGGTTGAGAAACACTACAACACACAATGGAAATAATGCATGGGCCTTCTCATTGCCACTTAACTCCAGAAGGACACGATAGGAATCTTTGGTGGCACCAAGCGTCACCGTTCCTTGGGCCATTCCGTCCCCGATTTGCAAAGTTCTGCAACATTTGCCTCCATGCCATCGAAAACCGCTGCTTTCCAAGAGCCGAACTTCCAATTTCTGCCATGAAAAAAACGCAGGAGCACCGATTTGCACAGCCCTTCCACATCTGAGCACACTCCCCCTGTGCATTTCTGCACGTGAAAGGCACAGCAACCCCGGCAGGGAATAAAGTTCCCCGCTCAGCGGGGCAATAGCGCGAAGCTGCTTCAAACTTTGCGAGTTGCTAAAGGACGAACGCATAACAAACACAAGAGATAGAATCTGTGGCAGTTAAATAGCGTTCTGCACGCGCATTCTTCGTAGGATTAAATGAGTTAGATTTCTGGCTTGATAAAGAACATTGAATTCCATGCAGTCACAATCTCTTCTACGCTGAACCAAGCTGGAATTTCTTGAGCTGTGGAAATGACTGTTTTTTATCACGGGGAGCAAAAATTCAGGGGGTGGGATGGTTTTGCGATCTCCCCTGTAATATTAGAGGACACGGAGATCCATTCGGAAGATCAAACAAAAGGATCACTGGCTGGTTCGTCGGGGGTGTGGAACAAATACACCCACAGTTGTGTATTGAAAGCCTTGTCCTTTTTTACACGCATGACACATTAAAAAGGAGGAGGGGGCCTTTGATTGCACATTCATGGACACCATCTTGACTTTTTTGACCTCCCCGTGGACGCCCAGTTCCCTGCTGGCCCTGATTAACTGTTCACCTGACCCGACCTTCTGTTTCCAGTACATGGACACAATCTGCCCTAGACAGTCCCTGTAAATTGCTTAGCACGATAGATAAAAATTTTATTTACAGTGGCGGTTGCTGGCAGTGGTTCTCCTGAAGCTGGAAGAAGTAAGTGACTGACCATTAAAAATTCAATATTGCAAAGGCAGCGTTTCTGTTTCTCTCAGCTTGACAAGGGCATAGCCTTGACCTGAACCGTTGCTTTGCTCCTGTAAGAAAGCAAAATGGAAAGATTTCCCTCTCAGATTTAAAGGCTACTTTGCACTTTCCATCTGGCACTAAATGCCTGCTAATCTTAAATCCACATTGTTTTCTTGGCAGCAGCAGAAAGTGATCTGCACTGTCTTTTTCCAGGATGTTCTCTTGACTTCCCTCTCTAGCCTGCAGCCCTGAGATTTCCTAGTGGTCTCCCATCCAAGTGTGACCGAGGCCTAATGCTTCACTTCTGATTCCAAAGAAGGAGACTCAGGTACTGTCCTAATACATTTTTCAGACTTTAAGACTGTTTGGAGCAGACCAACACAAAGGGATACAGAGAGTGAACTAAAGGTGGTCAGAAATGGGAAAAAGATTTGGGTTTTTTTCCTTTTCTTTTGGTGGAGCCCCTACCTGGAGCAACTGGGAGCTAGCAGTTACAGTACATTTCTGATTTCTAATCAAGAATTAAACTTGATTCTAAACTTCAGCTCTCCATTGCTAATGCTCGACGGCTCGGTGCATTTGGGATGTTTAACCCCATCTAAGGATAAAGTTTTAAGAGCGGCAAACTCTTTGGGTAAATTTTAACTTTGGTTTGGTTGGAGTGACTTAGTATGATTTGTTTGATTCATTTATGAGTCAGCTTCCTGTGCAGAAACACCCCCAATTGGTTAATTGAGGGGGAAAAACGGGTTAAACATTGGTCCGTGAAGCCACGTCTCCATGATGGGGGGTCCCGTGATGGCCCAGTTCACACACGATGCTAATTCAGCAGCTGGGGATCTGGGGGGTGGCTCGTCCTGTCGGGGAGGGTGCGGTGAATTCTGCGGTGCGTGGGGGGCAAGACTAGATGACCTCTGAGCGTCTTTCCCACTTTGATTCTAGGACTGCTCGTTCCAGGAGGACTCTGCCCACCTGGGGCTGCCCCAGGACCACTGTGTTGGAGGTTGGTTTTTATTGTACAATTAAGTTGCATTTATTACTATTCATCGTTCTGGTATTGCACATATTGTCGGTCATGTGCCCCTTACAGGAAATCACATTGAAGCACCATAAAAGTATTTGTCACTAAATAAATAATGAAGCAACCCACGACGTGGAATGTTCTTTGTTCAGCACATGGAATGAACCAGCTCCAAACCAGTGAAATGGCGTTAGGGCTTGGTTTATGAGCAAACTGGGCCACACAGCTTGCTCCATCCTGGTTTTGTCTTATGCATGCATGCACTGTTCTGCTCAGTTCTGGCTTTCCTGTCCCCTGCTCTCCTCTCCTACGGCTACCAGATCTGAGCTGCAAAACTCAGGACAGCCACTAGATGGCTGGATTGCAATGCCAAAAAGACGTTTGTGCTGCCATCTAGGGGCGGCCTGGATATTTGCAGCCTAGATAGTTGACCCATATTGGTTGATACAGAAGTTATTGGAGGATATGATAGCTGTATGGAGGTTTGGGTGGTGTTGAGGGAACCCGGCCCTGTGGCTTGTAAATCATAGTTCATGGTGTAGCCCATTGGGCAAATCCCACTAATGAAGTTTCATTAAATAAACCATGTTAAACAAACCATGTTGGAGGACCAAAGGCATCTACAAGCTCAGCTTTGGGGGTTGGCCTCTGAGTGACCCTATGTATGACTGTGATCTTCAGTGGATTTTGAGACTTGTCAGCTGAAAAGGTAAAAGTATTGTTCCATATGGCACCATTGATTGATTGACTGATTGATTGATTAGTTGCCATCAAGTCAGTATTGACTCTTAGGGATTACATTGATATACAGAGGCAGGCTGAGTTTCCTTGATGCTGAATTAGGTAACAAAAAAATGGTATCAAACGTGTTTTACGTTTACACCTAAAGGAATCCTGACCCCTCCAAAAGAACACACAAGAAAAGTTGGAAAGGTTGCAATGAAATCTAAGATGAATTTGAGGTCTACTGTTTAATTCCCCATGGAGGAAATGGATCTGAGAGACGTAGCTAGCTTTTCACTGCATCGTAGAGCTAATCTGTAAGGATTTGCATGCTGGTATGAGTCTGCATTTGCGGTGAGCACCGATGAAGCCTTACTTATCGATTCCTGGGCCCCTAAAATAGTCTCCAATCAATAAAGTTAAGTGACTGTTTTAATATGCTTGATTTCGTTCTTCCTTTTTAAAGATAGGGATCACGTGGGAACTTCTCCCCAAGATTCAACAATAGCGTGACAACTTCAAATGCTCAAAATATTTACCTACTTAGAGTAGGAAAAGGCAAAAAGTGCAAATATTATTTAAAAGGGAAGTACAGTTACTTTTCAAAAGCACATATGTTTGACAGTGACGGATCCCAAGAAATGCCACATGAGAAATGGAGTAACCCTTTGCCAACCATTTGGGTTCTTGAAATTCCACGCAGTTAGTTGGTCAGCTGAAAATCTGTGGAAAAAAGAGGCTTAAGGGAAGTAAATCCCAATTCAATCGAATAAAATCGCTGAAGCTCTTTTTCTTATTTTTTTTTTACTATGCTAACAGTTCTACAGTTCTTGTATTGTGCTCTAGAACCCAGGGTTCCTCAACCTTGGCAACTTTAAGGCAGGCAGACTTCAACTGAAGTCCGCCCGTCTTAAAGTTGCCAAGGTTGAGGAACCCTGCTATAATCTATGAAGAAGTTAAATAAATGAAGTCATAGACCAGACTTAAAGCTTTTACAGAGTCGACAAGCATTGCATACACCCATCTTCTAAAGCTGGAAAATTGCTAGGTGAAAAGGATGGAAGCTTTAAAATCAAGTTTCTTTGTCCTTCTGTGACCAAGGAGTTCAACAGAAACTTGGAAATCTCTCCGTTAAAGTGTCCTACAACGTTCAACCATGATGATCTGTAGATACCATCTCTCTCACCATCTTACGTTTACTGGCCACAAACTTGCTTTTATTGTCACACGCCTAAAACGTACCTCCACATCCTTAGCTTCATCTATCATTATCTGGATCTCACTGGTATTTTCTTCCAGCGTCGATCCTCCATCCAAGCTTCATCTTGTTTTACATTCAGGTCACAAGCCACGGGTGGGACCATAAGTGACCCTACTGTTCTGCTCTTACACTGTTAGGGTTTCCTTGTCTTCTTCATTGTTGGCATACTTGATAATTTGGACTTTTTTGTTTAAAATTTTGGAAAAAATGGATTTTATAGATAGCTTAACAACTTGATATGTACATCACAAATAATAGTTAATGGTGAATTGAGTAAACCTTGTGAGATACAAGAAGGGACAAGACAAGATTGCCCACTTTCACCACTGTTATATATTTTGGCTTTGGAAGTCCTTACTGGGGGGAAGGTGGAAAAAGGAGATGTATAAATTAAGGGCACTTGGAGACCATTTGATTTTAATAGTTGAAAGTCCCCTGGATGGAATAGAGGTATTAATGGAAAATGGAAAGAATTTGATGAATTAGCTGGATCTAAAATTAATAAAGAGAAAATTAAAAGGTTAACAAAAATATGAGGATGGAAGATCAAATGAACTGATTGGAAAGACCGGTTTTCAATCTGAGAGAAAGGTAAAATATCTGTCCAACATGAATTGCATATAAATATGTCCAACATGAATTGCATGTTATTTCAAAATCATTATGTTAAGGTATAGAATGAAATTAAGAAAGATTTTCTAAGATGGGAAAGGTTGCAACGACCATTGCTTGGAAGAATTTCTGTGATAAAAATGAATGTATGGCCTAGAATGATGGTTTTATTTCAAACAATACCAGTTTGGAGAAATGATGCAGCCTTTAAACAATGGCAAAAAGATTCATCTGGATTTGTGTGGCAGGGCAAGAAACCAAGGGTTAAATATAAAATTCTCCAGGATGCAAAAGAAAGAGGAGGGTCAGGACTGCCTGATTTTAAGTAGTATTTTGCAGCCTGCTGTTTAGCTTGAAAGAATGGGTGTTGCTGAGAAACAAAAGAAGTTCATAACCTGAGATTTGGCTGGCATGGGTTTTTAATGGTACAATAAAGTTAAATTTTTAATTGTAGGAAGAATCCCATGTTGGTCTGTGGTGGCTACAGTGGGGAATCTGGTAGCACTTTTCCCGCAAACAGATTTTATGAAAAGGCAGCAGATTTCGCGAGCTAGCACTCCTTTCCTCAGATGCACAGAGTGCCTAGGCTGGGGTTTTTTGGGGGGAAGAGGCCAAGAACTATGTTAAATTTTCTTTGTGTCAGTCTCTTTCCTTCTCCCTGTTCGAGGCTGCGTTCTGCGGGAGCCCATGCTCCATTTGTGCTCGGTGTGAGTTGGTACTGCTTGAGCACTTCCTGCAAGGTCTGCATGCAAGGAGAATGGTGGAAAACAACTGTGCAGTGTGTGTTTTGGGGTTTACCCTTGGAGGTCCTGGCTTAAGCATAGGCAAGTGCCTAGGCAAGTGTTTCTCATACTCAGCAACTTTAAGATGGGTGGATTTCAACTCCCAGAATCCCCCAGCCAGCCATGCTGGCTGGGGAATTCTGGAAGTTGAAGTCCAGACATCTTAAAGTTGCCGAGGTTGAGAAACACTGGCCTAGGGGTTTGGCCTGAGCTGTTAAGTAAGGAAGTTGCCCAGCTGTGCTTGGTGCCCAAGTGAGGGCTTTGCCCATTCAAATTTTGTTATCAGAGGAGACCACAACGGTTGCGGGTTATACACAAAGGGAGGACCAGTTTCAGTGCTCCTTTTTCTGGAAAAGCAACAGCAAAAAAGGCTGGTGAGTTCGGTTTGGGGCTGACAGGGTGACATGCAGAAAAACCTGGCAGAGTTTTGATTGTCTCCTCCTGGTCACCCTGTTGCCTTTTTTTAACCACACACTGCACACACCCCTGGGGGGGAACATGATGAGGGGCTGCTAGAGAGGGTAAAAAGGCATTATGCTCAGGACATTTACCATTTTGCCAAGCTCCAGTGATCACACAGTATGTCAGCTGTCATCAAAGCAGGGAAGTACGCCTGAGACATCTGTCAAACGACGTCATTTAAAAACCATTTCACTTTTAAGATCTGGAGGGGTTTTTTGCACAATTCTTCCGAGGTTATGGTTCCGCACTGTGGTGTTTCCCCCGTTCTATTCTATTCATAGGGCATATTGTCTGAGCTGAACTGGAGGAACTTGTATTTATTTCAAAGTTAGTTCTGCAGAGCACGAAATCAGTACGTTATTAATAACACGGGTTGGCTTTTTTAAAAAGTTTTGCTCTCGATCTGACATTTGTAAAATGACCGCTCAGAAGTCACAGCCGAAAAGTCTGTGCAACGTCCTTGCCTGCCTGCCTGCCCGCCTTTTGGTATTGCACACGGCATTCCTTTCAGGTGCCTTGTCTGAAATGCAAGTTTCTAGCCCTTAAGACAAATTGGATACCTTTGGGGAAAAAGCTGAACCTCGGGGCAGATGCGATTGCCAACTCCTTGGCAGTTTCTTTGTTTTCCAGCAGTAACTTCATACCTGCTCTTGCAAAAACAAAAAGGAAAAAAATCACAACTGATGAGTCACCATCTTACATAACACACCAATAAAACAGCCACAACCCCCCCTCCAAATATGGATTTCCTGTCCAGCACATTTTTCATGCATTCCCTCCTTCCTGCAGCTTCGACAGTCTCTCAACATCTCTAGCCGCCGGCTGAGGAACGGATCCCCGGTATCTTACTACATCGGAGTACTGGTTGCAAAACTCTGCCTTTTCCTCACTCGCAGGATCCCTCGCCCAGATAGCCTGAGACAGTGTTGTCCAAACTTGGCCACTTTAAGATGAGTGGACTTCAACTCCCAGAATCCCCCAGCCAGCCATGCT